TTACATTTTCATTCTGAACAGTGATATCGATGCCTGCTTCAAGCTATCTCATTAATATCACGTTTTTGTTCTGATGACTTTGTACATGACTGAGTTATAGGATAGACTGACAAGTAATTAATAAACTCTAAATACTATTATGTCTGACTACATGACTGTATGTATAACATAATGTTTAACCTCCAAATTTCCAGCTACACTTGATATCATGACACATATATGATGCTAATAGCTAAGTATTTAGTAGTGTTTCCATGTTACCAGAGATTAAAAATGCTTGAATGCATAGCATCATTATTCATTAAAGTATCTTACAATAAACAGTATAACCACTCGATGTAATGAATTTACACTTTAATTAATCAATTAGTAGTAAAAAAGCCTAGCTTTATAAATTCTCTGATTGTGTACTATTGATTGGTCACTGTAGAATGATCAATGTCATGTTTTACTAAACTCCGCCTGTAGCTCTTCCAGAGTTACTGCCGGTCCCAAGCCCAGGTAAAGGAGGAGGGTTGGGCATGGGGTTAGCGTCCCCATCCCGTAGAAAACTAACTCGCTAAAAGAACGCTTACCAGTAATGCTTTACTAGTCTATTTAGTGCTAATCTGATTATATCGATCAGGTTTCTATTTATCCAGTAGACTAAGCGTTTTGACACTGTATGCACTATGCTGGGATACAAGGTGGTTGGAGGTAGTTGATAAATTAGATGTAGACATTTTCCGATTGTACTAGATTATAAATTTTATAAGTGAATGACACTTCATTAATATACAAGTATATGGGAATTATTTGATGTTATTGACACCACAGATCGGCATAACTTGGACATTCACTGGAAACCAGGAAGAAATAGACATTGGTTTACAGGTTAAAGTTTTTTATATGAGACCTAAAGTCCTGAGTTAGACCTTCATCAATGGTGACATGGGTGCACATGACTAAATAACTACAAACTCGGGAAAAACTGGTGATCAAGACTTCCTGGTTTTCAACGGCTGTATAAATTAATCTGGTCCATAATACTAATAAGATTATATTTTCTAACTTATCTCCGTATTAATACTGAAGTGCTTAACTTTTTTTTTAGCTCTCTGTGCTATTTATGCAAGAAACTACGTTGTCTGTTCTAAAGCTTTTATAAAATTAGAAAGCTTTACAGATATCTCACCAATTGAACAGAAAGAAATTAAAGAATTAACTCTAGATCTATTTTCCAAGTAAGTGTTATTCAGTAATTCGTTGTACTTCAGATACATCTGTTTGTTATAAATCCATATTTAATATTCTATACTTATGTGAATAGATTATAATGTATAGAGAGGTAGATATAATTTACGAACCTTGTATGAAAGTTAACATTGAATCTTGGAATCTTCAATATTCATACATTGAATTCCTTTTAGAGAATCTTTGATTTATTTCTTTAAGATGTTATTTTAAAAACTTTGATAATCACAATTTCAGTTTATAATGAAAACTGTTTGAAGGAAATTCGTAGATTCTTGACAGATTTTCTGACTAGATATAAAAATGACTGTTTTATCGTTATATCTTTTTGATAGACATCAACCTATAAACGAACAAGATACATCGGAGTCTCCTGAAATGGATTCAATGTTAGAAAGGTAAGAGAAGTTATTCCAACTACTTAATGCTATTTCATGTTTATTTTTGATTCGGCCATTACATCTTACTACTGTTACTTGATGTGAGTAGTTAAATATAATTTGTAGCAATTCTTACATATACCACTCTTTGTATGGGAAGTATTTCCTGTTTATTTAAATAATTTATATCCTAATGAATACAGAAGATATGCTGATTTTTAGGCATGAGTAAGTTGATGAAGAAAAGAATGTAACTTATAAAGGGGAGAGATATGAGAGTAAACTGCTTGGAAAGATATAATTCCTGAATTGCGTTTACCACAGGGAATATAATAATGTGAAGCAAAAAAAACGGAAACTAGTATTTCCTCCGTAAACTGAAACTGAAAAAGAATAGACAATGTAGCGAAAAGCAATCCTTGTGTCGTCACAATGCGCTTATAATCATTCATAACTCGAGAGAACAAGATGGAAACAAAGAGAATGGAACAAAAACACCGAGAATTACTGTGATAAGTCTGTCGTTTCGTTTTTATTTAAACTAGCCAAAGTAACCAAGGAGTGTAAGAGTACAATCTAATTGCAATTGATTTCTGAAAAATTTAGTTTATTCTTTAATTTTATTGAAGAAACTGCACTATATATTTCCCCACACTGTCGACTAAATTCGATACTCGATACATTTTACATTGATTTCAGCTTATGGTTAACCAATATTTTAATTGACTTAAATAAACAACCTATTTGTAGAAAATACTGCGTTATCACAATAATCATGTTCACATATATTTTGGCACTCGGATCTAAATGATATGTGATGTTATAACTGGTGTATAGATGATGGCCTGATAATGTATAGATCGGCTGTTCATACAACAAATTATTACTAGTATTATTTTTTAACTTGTCAAAAACTGAGTTGAACATCAATATTTCTGTTCTTCAACATCCATCCTATCAGTAGGCATATACATATATGTATGATCCTTCAGTTAGTCATTATCAACATATGTTTCGGTACAGATATGAAACGATTCAAATATTCGCACATCTACAGAACTAAATGAAATGGTTATATCAGTGATAGTAAGGAAGGGGAAACATAAAGAATATTGGTCAAAAAAAGAATGGGAAGTCAGTCAGCAACAACGTACAACTTCGTACGTACTCACGTACATCAGTTCGAGTGACTGACCAGTAATAATAAGGAAGACTAAACATAGAGAATATTGACCAAAAACAAAGAATAGAAAGTGTGAAATAATATTGAGATTAAAGACTTAGGGGAAGACTGTAAGAAATTAGCATTGATAAAATGCATTTTAGCTTTGTTATAGAACGCCTATGTTTACCTGCGGCACTGTAACAAGATTTCTGTTTAAACAAAATACAAACTTTTCTATAACGCTTTTAGTATACAGTACAATAGTAATGTGTTTTCTGTGTCTACTAATAAAATAAATATTACATTGGAAATAAAGACGAAATTCGACAGATAAACCTAACATTTCCTTTGTGTTTTTTACCTAAACATTTTAGTGAGACAAAAATTCCTGTGTGTGTAGTCACTGGTCAACCAATTACAGATTATCAATTTTGGATGTGTCCAACATGTAAACATTGTGCTTATGAAAATGAAATAACGAAATTGCACAATTGTCCTTTATGTCATTTCCCTGTTCAATAAATATTCATTCTAAATATATTTTATTTGAAAATATATATCGTATCTTGAATAGATGGAACTTTTATTACATTTCGGAATGTTATTTGTTTACCCAATACAGAATCGTGTACTAAGTTTTGAGTCATACTTTTGTGTGTAGAATAATGATATTCAGCTGCCCCAAGTTGAGTTGGAATTGAACCTGCAGTTCAATGATTGAAAGTTGGACGTCTTAACCACTAGACACACATATTTGGTTTACAACGGAATAATTTATAGATTGATTGATTGTCAGAATGAAATAAAATCTGGTTTATTTTATCCATACAATATACTTTATGAATTGAAACAATACCCTGACAGCTGGATAACCGACTGTCAAGGTTCTTACCTCTCTGAAGCATAACATTATACTGTTTGAGGAGGAAATATTTCAACGTCTTTACTAACTCAAGGTGTGCTACAAAGACCTGTTCTTTCCAATTTTTTCACGACCTGTCATCTTCCTCAGAAAACACTTTTATTAGCTGTGCCGGTAATCTCAGTGCATGTACACCGATCTCTAACTTTTTACAACCCCTTGGAATAAATAAAATCTCCTTTTTCATTGAACATTAACTTTACTAACATCTCTCTTTGTATATCTTTTGGTAAAACGAGGAGCTAATACATCAAAATCCATGCACGTAAGGAAATGTTTAGAGGCTGTATAATACCTAATCTAGCGAAAACACTATGACACGAATAGGTTGTAAGAGCTGATCTAGTCAAAAACCAGTATTCTTAGGCCAATTGTTAATTAAGAGTTGCACAGATCCTTATTATACTGAAGAAAAACTTCACTTAATTCCAGATGGTTTATTTATTTATTTCATGTATATGTTAATGCAGTTATCGACTTCTTTTTCTTAATTAGTAAAAGAAACTTGTTGAAACACTGTTGAGAATTCTATATTATTATCTGTCAAACATGTTAAATAAATATGAACTAAAGTGATTAGAGGCTAGTTGTGTTTAAAGGGAATGGATATGTTAAACGAAGTTAAACAGACGAACTTGTCACACAGAAGATAAGATGTAAATGTGAGAAAGCTGTTATGAGTATGTGAATTATAAAACTAACCAACATCAGTACTACTTGTTTGTTCTCACAAGTCTGGCAACTTATAAATTTGCGTGGCGTGTAAGCATTACTGTATGAACTTAGATATAAAGTTTCATACCCTATCCTTTTATTATGACAATTAGGTTAGTTAGAAGTAAGAAAATGTTTTATTGATTAAATCGGATCGTTTAACATAATGTTATCCTTGTTCACCAATTACCGATAATGTAAATTTTCATTGAAACTTTCAAAATGCATAAAATTCTATTAGTTAACAATTAATGTTTTTAGAATTATAATGAATTTTTAAGACGAATCGTAATCTCAATATGCTTGTTTCTTTTTTAGTCATTTTGAACATTATATATTTCCTTGATACGAAAATCAACAAGAGTGATTTGGTTGAGACGACCTTGGAGTGACGCTAGACTAACCTTGAGTGTCCACCTAATAACTAGGACCAAATGAGGGTTATAAACATGTCCGAAGAATTAGATTTATGACTTACAATTGATGGTTAAGGTTAGGAATTAGATTTAGAATTTTCATCACGAACTGACATCAGCTATAATGCTAAAACTTTATTTAGCCAACTGGATGAGTGAATTTTGCGACAAAATCTGATTGGTTCGTCCATAAATTATAGTTTCGCGGTGATTTGTCTAAATTAACCCAGTAAAACAATATGTATAGAAAAGAGAGATGTTATTTATTTATCCAGAAAGAAATGATTATATAACTTCACAATATTAGGATTTAGTAAATGTTTTAAAGTCTATGGACAAAGGTAAATTGGAGGTGGTATTGAACAGGCTAGCTGCGAGGTAGCAGTATATATATAGAACACATATAAGCGAACAATTGTTTTCAATTAGATCGTCACCAGGCTTTATTGTAATATACATGAATATTCATACGGAAATGTTAAATCAACCAAGGTAATTAAGGTCAAAAATCACAATGAAATAGAATAAGTCACCAAGCATAATAGGTAAAAGTACAAGTTGATAACAGAAAGATAGGTGTACTGATAGTAGTAAGAATAATAAAATGCGATGACAAAAGTCTTATCAATAGTTAAACGTTGGAAATAGAAGGTCAAACGTGGGTAAATAGACTTGGAATAGTCATCACAAAACACTAAAACCATTACGTAATAAGAAGTATGTAAATAATTAGATAGTGAAGAATACAAACGGAAAGATGCGGAAAATTACAAACAAATACTGGATGTAAAAACTATGTTAATGATAACAAAAATAAAATGGAATAATGTCGTTTGTTAAATTACAACTGGCCATGCAAGGGATAGGGGGTTCACGAATTTGTTCTGTACACATTTAACCCCTTTTTTATTGTGATTATTGACTCAAATTGCCTTGATTAGTTTAACAATTTAATATAAATATTCATGTATATTACAGTAAGGCTTAATGATGATCTAATTGAAAGCAATTGTTTGCTTAGATGTGTTCCAATTTTCACAATGAAAATCTGGAAGCACAGGGCGGCCGTTCCGTCCTAGTATGGGACTCCTCATGTTCGAGTTCCGCATGCGAGGTCGTGCATGAGAACTACTGAGGAGTCCCACACTAGAACGAAACGGCCGTTATATATATATAAGCAAATAATCACAAGTAATAAAAAAGTAATTTACAAATTAAGTATTAAAGGTGAATGATTGTCTAATCTATGATGAATTTCTTTTATTAAACAATATGTATCATGTTGAAATATATGTAGTCCACGACTAGTTAGAACTGCTAATGATAGAGGACCTTCACCGATTAGATCTAAAGCAGGAGATATACAAAATACTGGACCAGGAAGTGAACGTTGAAATTTTAATCTGAAAAAATATATATATAAAGAGAATATCTTAAAATGAACTGTATCTAACATGATACATAATAAATAATCTTTTTTTTCTAATGTAGTATAAAAGTTGTGCAGTGAAAATGATTAAATTGATGGAGTTTTTAGTAACACAATTTATATAAAACAACATCCGATAAGATTGTTTTAACATAAAAGGAATAGATCGTTTACGAATCGAATGTCATTATACAGATTCGAAGTTTTATAATATACCCAAGTAGTTATTTTCAATAATTTGAAAATTAAAGTTGGTGTGATACAGTTGTTTAAAACTACGATTCGTTTGATTGTTACTGAATTCATTGGAGTGGATGTGAAAAACTTATGAATCTTAAAGATTGTTTCGGTTATTCTTTATATATGTGTAATTTTTTAGTCGATTTAAACTAGACTACAACTGAAAACCTGGAAGCACAGGACGGCTGTTTCGTCTTAGTATGGGACTCCTCAGGCTCGACCCCTGCATGCGAGATCGTGGATGAGTACTACTGAGGAGTCCCATACTAGAACGAAACGGCCGTTCAGTGCTTTCAGGTTTTCCATGGTGGTATAGCTTAAATCGAGTCATAAATTCAATATATATATATATATCGGAGACTACGGCAATTAGTAAACTTTGGACAACGATATACGGCAGATGGAAATCTGACTTTGCAGACCTATCAGTTGGCAGAATTCATAGGTAATAAACTTTCTAAAATCCGTAGAATATATATATATATCATAATTTAAAAGATTTTGTGTGTTCAGACAAAATAAATTTATGAATACCTTATCACAAATGTATCGATATGAGTGTTGGGTGTCAAATACAAAGAACAGTATTCATAGCATTTATGACGCTTTATCTGAAACGGTTAATTTAACCGTCAATTTATGACACTTTATCGATCATAAACCAAATTAATTATAACGATAGTAACTAACATCTAAATATTACATGAGATACAGTTTGTAACTGTGGAGTGTCTGAACTAATGAATAACAGCTCTATGCATTAATATATGTTGCTTAAGTGTTCGGTAGTAACAGTAGTAGTGGCAGCATCATTGATGGACATGGTGGATCTGATGCAGATGTGAAGGCTTGGACCGGTAAAGCAAGAGCAGCATATTTACAACTGAGTAACATCTGGAACTCAAAGCAACTGTCAACCAACACCAAGGTTAGGATTTTCGATACAAATGTCAAGACAGTTCTACTGTATGGGGCGGAAACCTGGAGAACTACGAAAGCCATCATCCAGAAAATAAAGGTGTTTATTAACAATCGTTTACGCAAAATACTTCAGATCCATTGGCCGGACACTATTAGCAACAACGTACTCTGGGAGAGAACAAACCAGATCTCAGCGGAGGAAGAAATCAGGAAGAAGCGCTGGAAGTGGGTAAGACGCACATTGAGGAAAGCACCCAACTGCGTCACAAGACAAGCCCTCACATGGAATCCTCAAGGCCAAAGGAAAAGAAGACCAAAGAACACACTACGCCGGGAAATGGAAATAGACATGAGAAAAATGAACAAGAATTGGATGGAACTAGAAAGGAAGGTCCAGGACAGAGTGGGTTGGAGAATGCTGGTCGGCGGCCTATGCTCCATTAGGAGTAACAGGCGTAAGTAAGTAAGTAAGTAAGTAAGTAGTAGTAGTAATAGTAGTGTTAGGCTGTTTAAACCAAAGCTGTAAACTACTTAGTTTAAAGATTAGTTATCTAATCACCAAACATCGGTGGCGTTTAATAAAAGTTTGACAAATTTTAATTAATCCTTACAGAATACAAATACGGAACATATATAGAGTAAGAAGAAAACGAAATATATTACATGAATTGTCCACTTTTTGGATCTGTATTATTCAACTCCCATTCATAATAAAGTAATCGTTGTCCAAATGTTCCAAGTATAATTTCAGTTTTACCATCCAAATTAAAATCATCGACTGAAGCACAATTGACATGATCAAAATCTGTGCTAAATGGTAAAATTAACTGATTTTGTACACTGAAGCCATTATTTTTGAAGATATTACTGAAATGATAATAAAATTCATACATTAATTACTCTATGTGATACAGGACAATGTGTAATATGAATCATTGAAATTTCTTTTATTAATGAAGTCTATTTACCTCAAAATTAAGTAATAACCGCGTGATCACTAGAGAACAATATTAAAATGAAGTTTGACCACATTATTGGTACGATAGATAAGATCTTTTAGGCAAAAATAAAACATTAGAAGGGGTTTTGTGGATATCATAGTAATTTTAATAGTTTAGATCATGAGTTGATTTAAGCTATACCACCATTGAAAACCTGGAAGCACTGAACGGTCATTTTGTTCCAGTGTGGGACTCCTCAGTAGTGCTCATCCACAATCTCGCCTCACGGGATTTGAACCCAGGAGCTAACAGTCTCGCGAGCGCCTAACCACCAGACCACTGAGCCGGTATCCAACGGTATTAATGTCTAACTTCAACAACTCCACAAAACTGAGCGACACATCCACCATTATCATTAGTGAGTTACAGTCACAACACACCCGGTTGAACTCCACTGGTCACTGCTTCTCGTTAGACTTACGCCTAGTCACTAGTTTTAGTAATTAACTTAACAATTTCCTGGAGAACAATGGTATCACAGACTCCTGCTACAACAACCTAGGGTATCACACATACTCTTGGTTTTTTGGTCTCCTGATGATCTAAAAAATAGAGATTAAAATTGAAGTCAATAAGTCATCCTTATCACGCACACGCACACACACACCCCAATGTATTCAGATATCATGAACATGTAAAATATGTGTTGTAATGGTTTTTTTATTTATTTTAACACATAGATATTGGTTGGTCAGTTCCAAACAGTAAAGGAAAACAAACTCAGATTACGGAATAAAAAGAGAAGTAGGAAAAGAAATAATAGAGGCTACTACTGTGATACCATGTCAGTATCCAATCCCATCAGTGATTAATACCGATAACAGCTGAAAAAATGTGTAAGAGACTTCATGAGTGTTTGATGGCTAGTGAAACTAACCATCTGTTCGAAATGAAGCAGGTGAAATAGGGTTTGAATTTGCCTCAATATTTTCTAACACTAAGTAAGATTTTCATAAAAGTTAGTACCCAAAAATAAGTTAGCAATTGGAGGAATGAGTCAAATGTAAATATGAGTAAGCCAACAAACAAACTTCGTGAAATTTCCTATTATAACTACGCTACTCGTTCGTAAATAGTTTATATCATGTACCTCCTTTTCATATATTTCATTAGTTAGTCGTAAACTAGCTGTTCTCTTAATGGTTGGCGCAGTTTTTTACCTGTTTAACCATATTGAAGTGGAACTTTTCTACACTTGTCTGTACTGAAAGTTCACTGTTATTGTCGAGTCTATCGTTATTAATGTGAGCTTTACCTTGCGCCAATTATCGTTTAATGTAGAGACATTATTTATTTGTATATATTCGTACATAAATATTTCAAGAATTCAAGATACTTTACCTTAGATGCTTCATTCCGATGGTTCTGATAAATCTGTACATCACATAGAATGTGAAGTTAACACTTTCTTTTTAAAAATTAATCTGAGTAAAAGTCGAAGAATATACACACTATTAACTTAAAGACATATCTGATAACTTGTATGTAAATACGATGTTGGAAATTTGCATGCTTACCAATAAACAACACTTGGTTCAAAAGCTGAACACACTAAACAGTTAACATCTTTCTTGAGAATAGACACATCTGGTATGAAATCAATGAAGGGAGAAAGAGACTGACATAAATAAGTTACAGATGTAGGAAATTTAAGAAATTAATAGATGATAACATCAGTGTAAAATGAATATAAAAATGAGACTAAAATTACCATATTTTTATTGATGAATGGATTCTCAAGCAGTTTGTGGTTTCCGGTTAAGCGGTTATCGATATCATTTTGCTAATGTATTGTTATAATTTATTAGTAAATCATTATCAGTTACAGAATTGTACACATGGCTTTGAGGCACAGTCGGTAAGCACTAGTAATACTACCCAGTTGTGAGGGGGGGTTCGAACTCGCAATTTATGACTGAAATTTCAACCTCTTAAACAATAAACCACCTACCCATTTAGCTTAAAATATCATCTAAGGTTTGTGACAATTAATTTTATAACCCGGAATGATAAACTTGAGAAATTATATAAGTTGAGTATGCTCTGCACCTTCTAAGTCCAAAGTACTTTTACACGACTTGTAGGACCCTGATCCTGCACTCACCTTGAGTAGTGAGCAAATAAAAGTAATCGAGAAATTCGTGTATCAGGATAGCTGCATAAGTGCTGCTGATGGTTTGAGTGGTGAGATCAATTCACATATAGTGAAAGCCAGAGCGGCTTATGCCAATTTGAGCCATCTCTAGCGCTTTCGTGATGTTCTGGTTGTGAAAGGTCGGACCTCCAACGCGTCAATGGGAGCAGTCTTGCTCTATGCTTATGAAACCTGATCTCTCCGAGTTGAGGACGTTAGACGACCCTCTGTGTTTGATCCTTGTTGTCTCCGAAGGATTGCTAACATACACTGATAACACCATGTTAGTAATGCAGAGGTTCGATATTGTGTGTTCAGGCACGGTGACGATAATTCGATTCAATCTTGAAACACCAACTTCGGTAGCTTGGATGTCTTACGAAGGTCTTCACAGCGAATTCCACACCGTGCATCATTTGCCGGATTAGTGTATGACATGGTGTGATGGCATCAAAGAATGCTGTACAGGACTAGCATCTGATGGTCCTTCACACAACTCCCTGGTTGGAGTACAACACAGTGGCTTAAGATGTTATCAGACTTGGCTCAAAATAGAAGCCAGTGGCAGTCCTGCTGTATATCTTCAATGTAAGTACAGAATCAATAGTTTGTTGCAATATTTTATGCTGAGAATTTCATATTGTACTAAAAATATAACACTAGATAAGATGATCGTTATTGTATGACAATATAACCAGTCAAATTTTAAAGAATAAATAAATAAATTACTTTCATTATCCTTGATCACTTCTTCTGAAGCCGAATCAAACCCATTAAACTGTTGAAATATTTTAATGGATGTGATTGGTGATTCATGAGATAAATAGAAATGTCGTATAGTTCCTGATTGAATAACAAAAAACATCATACAAATATACGCGATAAACAGTATATTTAGAAAGAAAACATTGGATTCATACAAACAATTAAGGGTAAGTTGGACCTTAAAAGTTTTATTCGGTCGACTTTCAAAGAAGTTCATTCAAACATTTTCATACATTTATATTCAATCAGATCAAAGCCCAGTAACAAATAAATTGAAGTGTATAGTACTACAGTGTAATGAACTTATTAAATTAGTTATGATTGATATAAACTATTTGACAACACTTAATATATTGGATACCTTTCATATAAAAGGAAACTTTTCATCAGATAATATGTAACCAATTGGATATGTAGGACACACTGTTCAGTTATAATAACTTTATAGGGAATAAACTCAACTTTAATGAGGGGAAAAAGGTAGTAATTATATGATAAAAATTTACAAATATCGTATACAAACATGTAATTAAACATTTTAGGCAAACATAAATAGGAACATACTACGAGATTTCATGTCCACAGCAAATAAACCAAACCACCCATCTTGTGAGCCAAAAGCTGAAAACCGTATATTATTTATAATTTTAAAATCCATATGTAAGAAACTGTGGTGAAAAATTAAACAAGGAATGTGAAAGCCTCAATTAAAAACAAGAATTTATTTATGATTAAGAATAAATGAAACTCAAATTTAATGTAAATTAGACCATAGTATAAACAAACACTTGGATCAAAGGAAATAGAACAAGGAAGTTCAAATGATTAACGAAAAATTACTATTTAATGCACCTACTTATTTAGAAGTGATGTACATGTAGAAATATTTGTGCTGAAACTATGTAAAATAATTTAAAGAACGTTTAACGTGTGAAAATTACAACTACTGTTTTCTATACATCTGATTGTGATACCGAGATTGAGAGATAAATTCACTAAACTAGTCACCTATCTTGTATTTATTAATTTAACGACTAATTTGAAACCATTTATGTCGGTTAATACTCTAAGAACTTGGTTCTTCATACTTACAAACACCTTCAGAGTGGCTAAGCAAAGGTACAGCGAAAACGATCAATAGTTTTGTGGTGTGTGCTACTTATATTGATGTAAGTAGTATATGATGCGAGTTAAAAACGTAATGTCTGGCAGCAGAAGATGGGGGAAGTTCGAGAACACAATGCAATTTGTAAGAAAACGCATGAACAATGAAATGTGAAACAATGGATTGATGTTGGCAGTAGGAACAGTCCGGTTTGATATGATGGATTGATATTTTGCAAATTAACGATTTACTATATGGTTTTTCTATTTTACCAAGTAACTGTAATTTTGTGTTAAATACATTCGATTGTCCCCACCACTGTTCTGTTCACTACAGTTCTACTTCATCCTATATAATTCAAATTTGTCAACCGTTTACAGTATTATACCGCATTGGTAATTATCTGCCAAAATCTGTTTGACTTAAAGCCTTCCAGACAACGAAAATAATAACTATTTGAATTTGAAAGTCGGAGATTTGTATGTAAAAGAAAAATGAATTCAGACCCTTTTATCATTTCAGTTAACTCAAGATCTAGTAAATCAGTAGTTATCCTAATCATAAAATAACCTAATTTAAATATGTACGACCGACCTCCTTTGTGTCTACTTATCTTAAATTTACCTTGCTCAAATATTATCAGCATTATTACTGTTCTTTTCAACCAGTAAAAAATTCAACTACCACAAACCCGATATAAATACTGATACCTAATTCATATCAAATCACAAGAAACGTAATTGGGTCGAAAGTCCCAGTAACCAAATAATTCAAAAACATTTACAGATTAAATTAAAACTCATATCCGTTGAACGAGTGATTATCTAGACTTAGTAGCTAGATGGATAACGCATTGAACGTTTGATGTGCATTGTTTGGGGTTTGAATTCCAGTGCGGTCATAGACACTGGGATGTAAATACATCCATTTGACGTATCTTAAATATAATGAAACGAGCGTCCTGGATTTAACTGCCAGTCGAATTCCATCTATACAATAAAATCACATTATTACTTCATCTCATGTTATCTATATCTATTCAGATTATCAATCTTATGATTTCACTGATATATAAACTTAGTGATTCTAACAATACACACTAAATATCTGAAGATTACCAATTCTATTTCACTCCACTAGTGATCCTAAATTTATGGGCCGTAATTTTTAAAAGCAGTTCATCCAATCAAGTTGATCATTCCTTTCGAGCATCAATTTGAATTTTTAATTAGGGAGCCTGATGAAAATCTATTAGGAAAGAATATCCTACGTTCAGTTCATACATCTATTTACACAAAAACACAAATTAAGTTTCTATTTACTTGAAAGATATCTTACTGAATAAAGCTTACATTAATGTTGTTGGCAATTTTGTTAGCTCTGGGAAAAGTACTACAGCAATATTAAATGGTAGTTCACCATAAGCTGCACTGGAATGACAGGTTTGAGACTGATTTAATTCTGAGTTTTTTGTATCTTGATCAATTTCAACTTGTTCAAAAACATTCTAGAAGTAAGAGGAAATAAGGAATTCAACTTAAAACTTTTCAATGATAACCTTTGAAATGATGAATGAAACTAACGCTGATTTAAAGATACAAGATTACTAGCTAAGAAACACCACCACCGTTCCAAACATAATACCAACTGAAAAATTATTGAATAATTTTTCAATTAAGATTTTCTATGTGTTGCCATTATAGGGAAGTGTGTGAACTTTTTCTACAGTAATTCTACCAACCACATGCTTGTTGATATTTTATTGTGTTCGAATAATGAATCTGTAAGTTTATTATGTAAGAATAGACAACGCTTTCTATGGTTGATATACTTAATGAGAATAACTAAACCGATATAGAAATTTCAAAAAGTGCATATAAACACTGAGTTGCATAAATTAGTTAATTATGATTTGCCTAGCCTTTCCAATCCGTATAACTCAATTTGTATGTATTCTTAGATAAACTTAGTTACTGGATGGCGTTTTCTTAGCAAGATTTTTTTGTAAGAAATAGAATTGCCGACCCCATGCCCAAGCCCCATCATTTACCCGAGCTTGGGACCGGCAGTGACTCTAGAACAACTACAGGCGGAGTTAGATCAACTTAGTAATTGCCAATAAATATGAAACAATGATCCATACGTGACACAACTGATTGTTAATCCATTAAAATCAGTAAAAATCAAAGGATCACTACTGAAGCGTGCATGACGACATGAAAGCTCAGATTTTGTGTGAGAGAAAGAAAAAAACTGATTGATTCAATACTCTGCTCAACTACCACGTATTTTCATAAGCACTGAATTATTGTTAAATACAGAACACAGATATGTGCACTATGCTTATCGTGATGTTATGTCTCAACTATTCAAACAACAGTACCTCGGTGTAGCTAGATAATGTCTAATACACTTATTAAAATAAACATTTAACTACAAGTATATACCAATCATACGACTGTAAAATCAATGGTAATTGGCTGTTACATTATACTGAGTTATCATCAAAGACTATGTCCTGATGAGATGTGTAGTAAGCTCACTCAACTACTGTATTATTTATCTGTTCACTGTAATTTATACACTTGATCCACCATGTAATTTTCCGTATGAGTCTGATTGAGCACATGTCAATTTTTAATCTATTCCCTCATCGGTTGTAATACACAGACAACCAATAATTTATCCATACTTGACTCACACTCAAAAAAAATATATGGATTTTTAACACACACTTGTTTACCCTGTGTGCTTGCTTCCTGTACGCTTGCGGATTTTACCAATCTTTAACAATAAACCATCTCTATAACTGGTGTTCAGGATTTTGAATAATCTCGAGTAAATCCATGATTCTACTAGGAGATTTAGCCTGCATTAAATACTCAGTTAACAGGATACTATCTATTGGAGTCAGATATAGAGGATACTAGCTTCTACAGATGATCACTCGGATGATCTAACTTACAATAAACAATCAGGCCTATGAACTTTGAGTCTCGCGCTGGTGTAAACTTTAGGGTACTTGGATGGAGCATGATAGTTCAATTTTCTAAATTTAATCTATTTTCAACATGCAGAGACAACTACACAATGCTTATAGTAGCGGTTAATTTTTCGGCATAATTGACTTGAGACTGTAGACACTCACAGCTAATTGTATTTATTTGAAAGCTAACATATTAGCAAAGAAGGCTAGAAATTATTGAGTACTAAACACAGAAGGGGTTAAGGGTATTTACTGTTTGGAAGAAACTATCCAAAAGATGACAGAATCCCTAAACAATACTTTCTGCCCCAAGCATCCTTCAAATGATTATGAGTATTTTTCAATCCAGCTAATATCTAAATATACATTCTCCCATTCATCTGATATTTCACTTACAACGATTTGATGAATTTTCAGTATAGGGTTGTGGATGCTGGATCAGTGGTCTAGAGACTAGGAGCATGCCCACGACACTAAAGGTTCTAGGTTTGGGATTGTAGGTGCGCACTGATGAAGTCCCATACTATGACAAAATAATCGTCCAGTGATACAAGGTCCTTAATGTTAATCTAACTTACATCGGTTCAAAATTTCAATGATTTAATGAAGCTTACAAACTTAATATATTTAATAACGTTCATCCATCAATTAATTTTACATCAGAAGATGAACAGAACAATAGAATATCATTCATAGATGTCCAACTAACTAGAAGAGCAGACGGAACTTTAAAAAGAGGGGTACACAGAAAGTCTGCAGCAGGACAATACACTCATTTCTACAGTGCAGTTCCAATCAGATACAATAGGAACTTGACAAAGATCTTGACTCATTGTGCCAAAAAGATTTGCTCGGAAGACACCATTGAGGATGAACTGGTTAATATTCGGAACTTACTTAGTATGAATGGGTACCCTATGAAATTCATCGACAAGCACATGATGGAGAAGAAAACAAGGGCAAAGATACCTACCGTCCCTAAGAAAGTACTGTTCATAAAATTACAATTCATAAACGACACCACTGAAGAAATCGTGACTCAGAAACTAAGAAGAGCTGTACAAAAAACATTTAATGCAGCCAGATTAAATGCTATCCTCTATAACCACCCCAAAATAGGAATTACCAATAAAGACAGACTACCTGAATTCGCCAAATCCATGTGTATCTATCGGTTCAACTGCTTCTGTGGAGCCAGTTATATAGGGCGTACTATTCGGCAAGTTCGTCCTCGTATTAAAGAGCATCATCCATCGTGATTAAGCAAAGGACAGGTAAAAGTGATTAAAAGTTCTATTCTCTCTCACTTGGTTGACACAGGTCATCAAGTTGAATTGAATAAAGCTTTTAAGGTTATCTACCATATCCCATCAAATTTGCTACATGGTTTACGAGTGTGCCTTTTGCACATCGCGGAGGCCATCGCAATCCATGTTCACAAACCTAACCTTTGCACTCAAAAGAGATTTGTACAATCACTTTCGCTGCCTTGGCTATCGGTATAAGATTTACCTAAACAGAACTATTTTTCATACTTCTTCCATTCGGTTTTTTTTTTGTTGTTTTTTGAACTTTATAAATTCTCAACATTCATCTCTTGATTCTTACGTAACTACTATTCTATTGACCATCCATTAAAAAATTCTGTGCCTTCTCTCTTTTTCATATATTGCGCAACGCAGCAACTTCTTGATCTAATAATTACTTTGAGTATTAATAATCCTCTTTCTTCCAATTACTTAATGTTAATTTAAATGTAATTATGTAAATGTTACGTAACGTATCCACTCGATGCGTATCATCATTATTGTAAATCATATATATATATATATTAGTGTAGAGCAATGATGAAAAACTAATTGAAAAGAAATTTCTTCGCTCAAATCACGATTAAAGGAGATGCAGACGAAGCGGTAAAACTGAAGGCAAAACAACAACCATAGGTAGTATATACTACGCACAAGAACACATATAATGTACTGTATCTCTTTGAAAATCAATAAGACCGTTGTAATCATAAAATAATCCTTGATAATCTAGAAACTGATTTTAATTTGTTAAAATATGAGAATAATATAATACTGTTCTGAATGTATTTTATAAATCAAATTTAAAATATCACTTACAGTATCAACAAGTTTGGAAAATATTTTGACTTGTGGTTGATTGGAAGGCTTGTCTAGATCAAAATTAACAAAAGAATGTTTTTATAGGTCATTTTGGTTTAATTAGCAGTGATTAAGTGAATGATTTTATCTTGAGGATCGAGTTAAGTGTATTATACGACAGGAACTAAGTTACTATTGCTGGGACAAATGAAGCGAGGTTAGGACTCATGATCTAGAAATTAAATCGATGACTTACAGTTAGAAATAATAGACAGCATTTACCACTAATGTTGTAATTGAATTTTCTAATAGGATAACAACAACGATGACTAGCTGACAGATATACGATGTTGCAAGCACAAAAATGAACAGTTTTCTTATGTGAAAAAGAAGGCTGATGAATAATAGATTTCCAAAGTCCAACTTCAACGTGTATATAATCTCCTATTATAAGTATAGCACTTTCAATCTTAGTGCAGCATTACAATAGTTGACGAAAGATTTGTTGAAATGTGCATGAAAGGAAGGAGAACAAAAGAACCGATTCATGATAGAAACTGTAACAATGGATCGCTTTCAGCACGGTAATCGAAGGTTTTAGATTCGATCCGATAATGGATACACGATAGCACAATAATAGTATAAACCAGATGTTTCATACTTTTTAGCTTTCAACAGTTCTCGAACTGGTTTCAGTTCATAGTGAAAACTGCTTCATATCTGCAATCACTAACTTCAATGTGGTTAATCAGTGCTTGAATTCCCTAACTTCTGTCTGAGTCATGTTGGTAGATGCAGACTACTCGGTTGGATTCCGTGTGACTATCGCAACCAATGGTTGTAGACTCTGTGTGACATGGATCAGAATCGATCACAATGGCGTCGGTGTATACACTCTGTCTTCCCTTAAACTATGAGATTAAAGTCGCTTCATATTTTTCTTTCTACGAACTAATTCTTTTTTCCTGTACTATGTCCTTATATGAAATCTTTCTTTTATATATTACCACCACTGAATTAATCACGTCTATGAATCCGGTGTTCATCTTGTTGTGCTAATGAGGTATGGGAACTTGGATCGATGCACATATGTGCCTGGTCCTACGTTGTAGCTGACTGACTAATTGGTTACACTGTGAACGAAATGTGGGTCGTCTACAAAAGTATTTATAACCGCGAGTTTATGATCTTTATTATGAAGAATATATGAGCAACAAAATTATAAATTTAAAATAAATTACTAGTGACAAATTAAGAAATCATCTAATTCTGAACAACGCAGTATAACTAGTTGGGTTTTAGAAATACTGGATACAGAAAAATTCCATAAACAGCATTTACAAAACTTACGTTGACTGGAAGTTTCGCTAAAAGGTTCACCATAAGACAAAAAGAATGCCCACTGATGTTCATCTTTGATGAGACAGCTAAAAAAGCACAAACAAACTCTCATTAGTCCACAAAGCAAAAACTTTATAAAATAAACACTTAGTCTAATGGAAATTGATTAGATTAACGGAGATAACTGTTCGAGTCAGAACTATGTGTATCACTTTAATTGCGTGATATTTGAGCACCAGGAACTGAATACCTGAGAAATTGGTCTTACATTTCCTTGACATAAGATAAGGTAGTAGCTAAATGAACTGAAAAACGCACGATTTTAACTAGGGTTTATCTGTATCGGGATATCCTAGATGAATATATTTAAATAAAAGATGATAGTTACTCGTATACTGATTACTGAAAAAACACGGTCTGGTAATAATTAAGATCACACGTCATGTTTTATATGATTGTAATCCCAATAGACTTTAATATTTCTTAGTGTGAGTATTCATGGAACTAATGATAACTGTTGTGATGGGCGGTGTCCGAAATGTGGTACTGATATAAGACGTCCTTCAGGTCAATTCTGATTAACATCGACTGATCTACTCATTTGGCTACTTTTACTTAGTTTGTCATATCAATAACAATGATAACATTATAGTTATGATAGTAAGTAATAGGCAGAAACACTAGTAATTTTTTAAACATGCAAATTTTTCATCTCATTTGAAAATATATCATTATTGAATACAGAAGCTAGCATAAATATAAGTCTAATTGAAATCTAAGTGTAACTTACTGTGCATGAGTCAAATGAAGAGGAACACAAGGTAACTTGGAATAACTCAAGCAATTTTCTGAACAGAATACTTATTGACTGATTTTTGTGTAAAACATACCCGATAGCTTTTCTTCTGACTTAGATCTGTATATATTAAGGTATCCTTTTTCGCCTTCCTTAAATATAATAAACATTGGATCAAACTAAATGTTACCTTTACAAAGCCAATAGCAACGAAGTATTCGTCAGTTATTTCGTCATGTAATGCACTAATGCAAACTATGTCTGAGGCACCTGAGAATTTACATACAAATAATCACTACAATTTCTACGAAACCTGGTAAATAGGCAAAATCAATGGTTTTAGTTAGTGGCTGAATAATTTTGTCTTCTACATCGAAATGGTGTATACTAAAGGAATATTTGCTGGCTAGTGGATCGCTTACTAGGCTAAAATAAAGAAATCAGAATGCGAATACTCACCTGGACGGAAAAATGCGACCAGTATGTCGTACGTTTTTCGACTAGTTTTTGATCGTTTTGCAGAATCAGACTTCAAAAAAGTTAGGTTGAAAACATTCGACTGAGCCAATGATGGAAAATGGAACAATTCCACATACGTCTGTAGACCTAATGAGTTCATAATTCCTGTGGACAGTTATCAATCAAATCACTAGAAGTAAACGAAATCAGAGTTTTAAGCTTTTTCGAGGAGAGACGTACTACTTAAACGTACATATAAAACTACAGAGGACGGTAAACCATCGACTGTTACTTATTCAAGCAACCAGGAATAAATAAACCAAATACTCCTAAAACAGAGGTAAGTTTATTAGTAAGAAAATGAGTTACAAATTTCTGATACACATATGCCAGTAACAACCAGCAAAGATGGTTATTTGTGAATTGCGTTTTACCTACGCTATTCCCTTTAGGAAAAAAGATTTTCTTCATTGATATCGACCATATTAGTGTATTCCAATTTGGCATTTTGAACATCACGTCAGATGTTTGTACCAAATACAGACAGTAGCTGAAAGGCGTGACTTCAAATCATAGTGGCAAATTGGAACTCCGTTCTTTATACTTCGGTTCGACAAGCCGCTTAGTATTATTGACCCATGGTATGACCCAAAACTGTCTTCTCGAACATGTGCATGAATAATACTTTCAACAGTTTTGATTAAAGAAATAATTTATTCAATAAAAATCGTGAACAGCACAAATATCTACTAACTAAACCTTATACTGACTTTCTTAAACATGAAATTCTAGTGTTGTTCTAAAGGGTTTGGTTTAGTTCAGAGTAGACTGTTTTCAAATAATTAAAGCATAAGGATGGAGCTATGTAGTTTTGGCATTACGTTTTTACAGGAATTGGATAGGCAATATGGATCAAATCTAAGCGTTACACGTAGATAGTTTACAATAAGTGGATGCCTATTTTCCTAGTAGACCAGTTCAAGTGACGCTAGTACCAACGTGTCTTCTTCAATATTGAGCATGAATCGAAGATCATTTCTATTTTATTAATATAATTAATTTTTCCCGAATAACTATGGCTTATTTGAACATCTATGCAGGACTGAGAATGTTCAGATATCAAATTATTGATTTTTCTGGCACTAATTTCTAGATCTGAAATTACCAGAACGGCCATAAAAACACATCTGAAATGTGAAATCCCATGATCAATTAATAAAACTTCTGTGTCGCAGCCAAACATAAGTCTTATAGGACGATAAAGTAAATATCCTTGAAAGTTACAGTACTCCAGAGACCATATTTCGACAAGTGAATACATTTAGATGTCTTCCAACAGTATTAAGACTTACTTATAATCTAGGTGGACGGTTAACGTGATTGTCAAAAATATAGATCATAGCTTCTATACGCAGAACCAAGTTCTATCACATTATTAAAAAAAGAATATAAAAAGGAAAATAAAGGCGTAATGAAGCCGACAAAAGCGTAAATAAAGGGGAAAAGTCTATTTTCCCTCCTTGATGTCGGTTACTTAGGGTAAATGTCGACTTGGCACTTACATAACGATCGATGATCTAGCATGTCAACTATTCACAATCTTGTGCAATGCGATGTTTTTTCAATAAATTTCCCTAAACATGTACCATTTTAACGTTGATTACATTTGTCGTGTGGCTTGCTATAGAAATACAGATAAATATAGGAAACATCTAGGGTTAGGTGGTGTGCTAAACGCCGAAGCGACAGTAGATAATTCGGGCGAAAATCAGACAACTTGGCACGTATTCATGTGAAAAGTAGACAGTTCGGTGAGTATTTAAGTGAAGTAGACAATTCGGCGTAGATCTGGGCAATAAGTAATTAACTCGGTGAGTATTTAGTCGAAAAGCAGATGATCCGTCTTGAGTTTAGGTAAAAAGTAGGCAATTCAGAGACGTTTAAAGATAGAGAGAAATAAGAGGGAAAATCAGCATTATTTCCCCGGACAGCAGAAAAAGCAGACATTTTGGAGCGTTTCTCCTTTATTTTCCTCTGTTCCCATTTACTTCCCCTTTATTGAGTGGGTGGGTTATTGACACGTGAAGTATAGAGAAAAAAATAGGGGAAAATCTATATTATTTTCCCCTGACACTCGAAAAAGTAGACGATTTGGCGCATTTTTTCCCAACGCATTTTCCTCTTTGTTCTCATCCTTATAAGATTATAATCTTATTTCGACCGTGACGACAGGTCGAAAACTCCATAGGCTGATAGAGAACCGCTCAAATCTCTCCCGTGATAAAAGGCTTTGACAAATGGGAATCTCTCAAACCAACTGGAAAAAATGTTGGACTGTAACGTTACGCGCCCGATAATCGTTAACTGTAAGGTGCCAAATAACATCGACCACTATTGTATAAAAGGTCACATTACTGTTCCACGATAATAACAGTAGGTGAAATTACCATCGATCTCTGGAGAATCGCTCGCCAAAAATCATGAACGTAAACGTGACGTAGCGTTACTATTGCTTGACGCGGCTACAAAGTCTTCAGTCTTCAGTCTTCAGTAATAAGGATAGGAGGTCTATCGACCTATATTAATCCTTGCAGTTTGTAATACTGTGGAGGTCCAACCTCGTTTTGAATATATTAACAGAAGGTGCTGATATAACGTGTTCCGATAGAGAATTCCAGTAATTCACTACTCGGTGCGAGAAACAAAACTCCAGACGTAAACGGTTTGATCTCGGTTTTCGAACTTTCTTCGAATGTCCTCTCAAATGATCGGTTCTAGACGGAAGCAAAAGATAAGACATGGTAATACCAAGGTCATCGTTCAGTATACGATAAGCCAATATTAGATCACCCCGTATTCTACGGTAAGATAACGGAAATAAGTTAAGGTGTCTCAGTCAGTCTTCATAAGATAGGCCAGATAGACCTTGTACCATCTTAGTAGCTCGTCGTTGGACTCTTTCTAGCATATCTGCTTCATACTTGAAACAAGGACACGCTGCTTGAATCCCGTATTCTAAATGTGGTCGCACATAAATCGGGTATAATAGTCTAAACATTTCATCATCTAAATACTGGAAATACCTAAGAGTAGACCATAATACCCCATAGCCTTTTGCAGCAGCAGCCTTACAGTGACCATTAGTTTTGAGATCATTGCTTAATATGACTCCTAAATCTTTATAGTTTCTTGCTTTGGGTAGCACGAATCCACGTAGTGTATAGTCATACGATTCATCAGAGTTATTTAAATGCATCACTACACTCTTATTAGGACTTACTTCTAGTGACCACCTGTCTAACCATGCCACCAATGAGCTAAGATCGTCCTGTAATACTATCCTATCCGACATACTGTGTATGGGTCTCCAAATCTATGTCATCAGCGGAGAGTAGAACGGATGATTTCGCTATAGTTGGTAATTTATTTACATAAAGTAAAAGGGGAAGAAGACCGAGGATTGTACCTTGGGGAACTCCACTTTTTACAGGTACCCACGAGGAGAGAGCCCCATTTACTCTTATCCTTTGTCTTTTGTCATGTAGAAAGTTACTTATCGAAACTACGACTGTATAATGGATTCAAAAACGTTCCAGTTTGAATTTAAGACCAGAATGGGAGACCTTATCGAAAGCCTTACTTAGATCTATAAAGATCACATTCAGAGGAATATTCCGATCTTTTGCAGCGGCCCAATCTTCTCTTGCAATGAGATTTGTCACGCATGATAGGCCTCTCCGAAAACCATGCTGTTCCCTGGAGAAAAGATTATGCTCTTCAACATAGTTTATAACAGATATCCGAATGATTTTTTCCATCAGTTTTACAACTGCACAAGTTAAGCAAACGGGCCTTTAGTTACTAACTAAATTCCTACGCCCAGCCTTATACACTGGACTTATTATAGCGTTTTTCCAGTCTCTGGGCAGTGTGGACTGCCTTAGAGACATGTCAAACAGTATCGCTAATGGTTCAGCAATTAAATCTGATATGGCTTTCATAATCCTAGGATGAATATCATCAGGACCACTGGACTTATCAGGTTTGAGATGCTGAAGTAGCCTTAAAACAGTATCTTTCTCAATGACTACAGGATCCATCAGCGAGCCGTCACGGTCGCGATGAATCGTTGGTCGTTCCTCATTACCGACAGAAAACACCTTACTAAAATATTATGATAAGGCTCCAGCTTTTTCGGCATCATTCTTTGCTAAGATTAACGGATTATCTCGTATCAAAAGTGATAGAATTCCATCGCTTCTCTTAGTTCGCCTTTTTATATACGAGAATAATCGTTTCGGACTATATCTAGAATCCCTAACCAATTGTTTTTCGTATGATAGTCTAGTCTTGCTTATTAACGCATTACAGGTATTCCTAATCTTGCAATAACTGGATCTGTATTGTTCTAAGCCAGTAGAAATGAACATATTCCAGTGATTCTTCCTTTTTCTGAGGAGTTTCCTGACTGTTTTAGCTATCCATGGTGGACGGTTATTCGGTCTTCGAGGTACCAGGTATGGTATGAACGCGGACGTAACTAGTCTAAATTTACCTTTAAATTCAGACCATGCTTCTTCAACTGATATGCTAGTATCTACTAACCAATCTGTCTTAGCAGCGCATTCCTGAATTGCTGATATGTTAGCTTTCCATACATTTGGGCGAGGTGTTATCTGATCGTATAACATGTCCCTAGTTCTAAACGTGAATGACAAAACAGCGTGATCGCTGTTCACTGACGGTGGGAAAATATTAAAGTCGACAATATCGTCAGTCTCATGGGTGGTTACCAAGTCCAACAGAGAAGAACCCTGGTTAACACCAAAACGTGTGGGTTTGGATACATGCTGCACTAGTGCATGCTCCATTATTGTTACCAGGAACCTACTATCAAAGGAGTTTGTAGGTCCATCCGTGGTCATTTCAGTCCAACTAATATCAGGTGCATTAAAGTATACTATTATCAAAAATCTGGTATTTGCACTTCAAAGATGAATGTGCTCTAGAATAAAGTCATCAGCTAAGCAGATTGGGCTGCGATAGATGACACCGAGCATAAACGTACTACATCCTACAGCCAACTTACAGCTAATGATTTCACAAATACCGCTATCACGGGATTCGCTAGTAGAGGAGCGGATATTTATGCTATTGGCTATATATAACATGACGCCGCCTCCTTTTCTACATCCATGTCTATCACTCCTGATGTAATGGTATCCGGATAATTCTGGAGTAATGTCTAGGTCATGGACTGACCAAGTTTCTGTCACTGCTACTATAAGTGGCTTTAACCTATCCACTAGTGCTTCTAGTTCATAGAAATCATTTCTTAGACTACGAGCATTGGCATATAAAACTCCTAAGTAGAACAGCCTATCTACACAGGCCTTGGTAGCATTCACTTCCAAGACCTGACTATCCGAAAACCCACTAGCCGGAGATTTTCTTCGCCGTTTTGCCGACGGGTTTCAAGTTCAGCTAGTGCTTTCTTCCTTTTTATTCTATCTTCGAGAGACATATCAGGTCTAATTCGGATGTCAGAAATGTCGTGACAACGAGCGCTACTTGACAAGAGATCCCGTTGCTTCTCCAATCCTAGGATTTCCTTAAGGAGTCTGCATGGACGGGGTTCAACATTGTCCTCAGTCCTCTTGCCTATTCTAACCAGGTTTTTGACCTGAACTCCTTTAGAGTTATCTGGTAAGATACTACGAATATATTCTCCCAGCTTCTCTAAATCATGCGCGTGTCTGATTTTGGGATCAGGGTCGTTTGACTTCAGCAATTTGCTCACAACAATATTCGATGTTATTAGATTTTTCTTCTCAGTCACGCCAGGACGGGTTTCACTCTTACCATCAGATCTTGGTAGTGCAATTTTTGACTCACAATTTGAGTCCAACAGTGAGTTACTAACTACCTGCGTACTGTTTATTGCTTTTTTCTTTTCGTTTCGTTTCCTACGTACCGTTGTCCACTTTTCATCCCTCATAACACTGGGACTATTTGGAACGGTGACTGTTTTATCCAGATCTTCGGTTTCCATTAAAGGTGCATTATTAACAATGTCAGTACCAGGTGGTACTACTCGCCCTGTTAATGTCAACGGAGATTTCACTTCTACGTCGGTCAGAGTCGGTTGTTTGAGGCGTCGCGTAACCGCAGGTACTACACTGACACATTCGTCACTGTCAGTGCCCGTGTTGTCAGCGCAGATGCCATCGTTCTTCTTGCAGGCCAAAGCCAATAGGCTCATAGCCTCCTGTATTAGTAATGCCTTGTTGGTACAGCAAAACATGCAAAGTCAACGTGAGTTAGGCTTCGAACATCTTTTGTATGCGGTGGGACTTAAACGGGTGCACATTTTGTGGAACCACTTATTGCATACGTCACACTGCATTCCCTCCTCCACAGGAAACAAACAGTTTGGTTGTCCACATTTGTGAGTACTAACAACCATTTTAGTCAGATCAAGGTGTAACACACAATATGATCACAGTATGAACACAAATGTCAGTCAACGTATAAAAGGTTACCACAAGACAAACTTTAGCAAGATTTTAAACCTTAACTAAAGTACTTTGATACAGACCAAGAATGCTTTCGAATGTGATAAATACACAAAAGCCAAAAAACTCAATAGAATATCACTTTAACTGTAGTAGATTCAATTAAAGTGTAAATCGTAGTTTTGATACGTAATTTACGATCAAAACAGTTAACTAATTCAACGAGAAACAATACCACTGTCCTTTTTAGATATCGCGCGTCAATAACAAATATATTTGTCACTTAGTAACAAATTGCGTTTTTTCATGCTTCTCAAAATAAATCGGTAAATGCATCATTTTCATTATGCACCGACATCTTTTTTTATGAACGCTTTTAGGACTTTGAAAGAGTTTATAGGCGCCGTAACCATAATAACGTGGCGAACAATGAAGTCGATTAAACATATAATTATCATCTTTATTTCCTTATTTTGCCGTGAGAAACGCAGTCTTGAAGTATTGCATCAATGTTATCCATGATTACAATACTGTGGGTGGTACATTCAGAAAAATTAACTTATGTTTGTTAACATGAATTAGGATTAATAATACTGCAAAATTTCTTGTCCTCTCGTCTCTTTGGCAACCGACGAGCGATGTTGATAATTTCGAAATTCCATAGTTTAATTTCCGCACACGAAGCACTTGACTTGTAGTGGCATTGGACAATAGCCACACAATCCACAAAGCTGTGAACACGAGACTACTCAGGAAATAGATATTCAATATTTAACTCGGGGAAATACCTAACAATGGAGAAGGCGCGAAGAATGAATTGAATGGACTGGAGTTGATCGAGTGGCATGGCTCAGCCATGCAGGCGTGGTCTCTATTCATATTAAATATATTGTTCTTTCTCTAGCCTAAGCTCGTTCTTCATTATGTATTGGTAGTTGTTACGATACGGTGAGTTGGTGTAGTCGATGGTGTGACTTCCACGTAAGATCTTATAGATTAGGCAGTTATATCATGACAAATCGACAAATTTCAGGAT